ACTTGTTCTGCCCCTGAAGTGCGATGCAAGGATTTTACCGGTCTGGGGGGCTCTGCATTTTAATTTAATTTTAAATGAAGCTTCTTAAACATTTTAAAAACCTTATTTACTTTACATACAACAAGAGTTTAGTTATATATTGTAGAGACGTATAGAAAGAGACCTTCTAAAAACATTAAAATGTATGACCGGCACGCAAAACCTTAAATTAGGGTGAATAAATGAAGACTCAGCACACCACTTCTGAAAGGTTGCCGACCCCTGCCCTAACTATATCTGGATGGTTTACTTGATTCTATTTGAAATAGACTTTTGTGTGTGTGTGTGTCAGTATTTTTGATCCATTTTTCCCCCTCCTCTGGTTTTTACTTGCTACTTTCAAAGCCTTGATAGCATTTGAGGTGGGAGGTGCTCTGAGTCTCTAGTAATGCAAATTCTTCTGCAGTAATAGCTATGCTCAAGATTACAGGCTTACACTAATGTGTTAGTAGCCCAACACAGTCAGGCTGCGGATTACAGTCTCTTTCCCTCTGGATTTATTCCCTCTAATCCAAGTGTAATCAGTAATGATTAAGTATCATTAAGTGTGGACGAACTGCCTCAGCCTGCTATTAACCCGGATAGCAACATCTGGAGTCGAGTGATGGCGTTAACACTCTGACTATTTGCAACTTCATGACAAGGGGGAAAATGCACGGACTTTTAATCATTCAAGATCTGGGTCAAATGAAGCCTAGACAACAATCCAAAAAGTCAATTTTAAAGTGGGATATCCTGACTGAGTTCCAATTGAATAACTCTTCAGTGTACGTCTGTATGCTATATTTGAAAATGCTTCTTTAGACAAATACTTTCTTCTGTTTGATCTAGTTGTTAAATGCCAGCAAAGCTTTGCTGGAGTGCTAAAGAAAGTAAATCTTTGGTGTCCTATCCCCACCTTCTCAAAAGTCATACAACAGGGTAATGTGTACAGACAAAATAAAGCTAGTGACATGTATATCAGGTTTCCGACTTCATTTAAAATTAAGATCTCAAGTATACAGCACCTGCTTTTAGAATAGAGTTGTAGGTAGCACCCCTATAACTTTTACTGGTCCTTTCCATTATGCTGTTCCTTTGTTAACGGTCTTGGGGTTTGACATAATGTGTAGATGGAACTTAATATTCAGCTACCCTTCTGTATCCTCTTCGGACACTGAGTTTGTAATGCTCTGATGAACTGGAAGGTGAAGACCCGACATAGATATTGAAAATCCAGTCACTGATATTTCATTTTCACTGATTTTTCTCCAGTAGGTTTGATTTATGAGCTTATCCCTTAATCCATATTGGGCTTCAGAGATGTCGTAATACCTAAACTACCTTCTCTGAAGAGCAGCTTTTTGCTAGACACAATTGCATTTTGGTCCCCATCTGTTCTAATTTTTTTCACAGTGGTGATATGGCTCCTCAGATCTGTGTGGTATTTAAATTGCTGTCAGGATTCATCTGTTGGAGTCTTTGCTTTGACCAATGGAAGCTTTTCTCTTGCTTGGTGATATGTCCGTTTAGTTGAGGGAATTGCCATTTTCTCCTGAAGATCTTTGATCCTACAGCTGTGGCCTTGAATGGCCATTTTCTCTTGGGGGCTCTAAATTTTTCTACATATGTTTCAGCTTTGTTCCCTTATGGCTTATATGAGGGAAGAAATGGGACAGCATCTTTGTTGCTTTGATGGTATAATTCAGGTATTTGCAACACTGGTGACCAAGACATCTGTAAAGACACAAGAATTTATTTTTCTAGACCGAGCTAAATTCACATAGTTCTGTTTCCTGCTCAACACCCAAAAGAGCAGGACATTCCTGAAGAGATTCTCCAGTCTGAAACCTGAAGTATTCTGCATGATCAGAATTTCCTAGGTTGCAGC